TAGGGTCGCTATGAGTCGGAAACGACTCGATGGCACATAACAACAACAACATATTATTGTATGCCATTACTGTCAACCCCTGTTGCTATTAACTCTAAAGTTATTTTGCCCTTATTAAATTTATATAAGAATTATTTTTTAATATGGTTATTAGAACGTTTAAGGCTACTATTACTTACCTCTCACCATTACTAACAATGTGTTAAAGTTAGAATTCAAAATTTTTACGTTTTCGTAAAGGAAAAATTTTAATGGAGCTCAAAAAGAACTATATTTGTACATAATTCCACTTGGAATGATCTTTTCTAAAAGTGTGAGTGTTACACAGCGATCCAGTCTTAGTATTTAAATGCTTTAACATGATGTTTCTATCAGTATAGCTCTTGGCCTGTTCTCATGTATAAGTTTAAAATCTTGCATATCTACATCCTTGTCAGGCAAATGCCATGAGCTAAAATTGAAGATAATAACGTAAGATTCATGTCTCCCCCTTGCAGGTTGTAGTTGTCACGAATTGACAGTTTTGAAGGACCTAGACTTACATCAAAGGATTCAGAGGATCTCGTTAGGTCAATTAATGTTCATTTTCATCTTCCATTCAATTCTTCTAATGTTTTTCCTCTTTTTTTCCCCCTCTCCCTTCTTTCTAGCCAAGTCCTATACCGAGTCCTGTTTTGGGGCGAAAGCCAAATGCTAGTCAGGCGCTACTTGTGTGGTGCAAAGAAGTTACGAAAAACTACCGGGGAGTAAAAATTACCAATTTTACTACATCATGGAGAAATGGTTTATCTTTTTGTGCAATATTACACCACTTTAGACCAGATTTAATGTAAGTAGAAATGTTTTACATTCCCTCTTAAGTATTGTGTGAATAATACCTATTTTTAAAAAATAACAGGATATTTCTTAGCATATGTCCTGAAATATTTTCTTTTTATTTCCTTTTTTTAATTGAGTGAAGTCCCTCTTGTTTGTTGAGGGAAGAAATAGTTGGATGTTAAAAAGAAAAGTCTGTCCTCCTTGATGCCTAAAAACAATTTTTTTGTTAAAAATTATTTCTTTTTAATCTCAAAAAACCAACTTCACATTATTCTAAAAATTGTGTCTGCATTAAAATAAGATGAGACAAATCAGCCTGTAGCTCTTTGTACATTGACATAAGGGATTATTTCATGATCAATTTTGGTTGTCAGACCTCGCCTCTGGTGCCTGCCTTAACTTCTCCTTTAGATGGGCTGCTCTAGGCAATGAAACATGTAATCACTATTTTTATTTATTTATTTATTACCTTCATTTTCCACACTATTAGTTTTGTTGATTGAGTTTCTGTGAAATTGCTAGTTACTCTTTGGCATTATTGAATGTCAAATTTTTAGTCAGTTTGCTTTAGAAACAGCTGTTTTATCACCTTCCGTATGTACCTACTGTGCCATTTTCTTCTTCAGTGACTACAAGTCTTTGAATCCTCAAGATATTAAAGAGAACAACAAAAAGGTAAGAATTGCCATGGGAAGGATTTTTTTTTTTTCAATTTTGGCTTCCCTGCAGGTTTTATTAATTTGGTGAAGTGAGGTGGTTTTGTGAGGTCCTACCTGCAGCATCATGTCATGGGGAGAAGTTGGCTTCCTTCCTGTCATTCTAATGGTTATTCTAGTTTACCATGAATCTTAAAGGTCAGCAAGTGCAAAGCTGCCATCAGATTATTTGTACATGACCTTCACTAGGTGCTACATATTTTGTTAAAACAAGTTGCTCAAAGATGCTTAAAAAGTGCTCATATACATGTGCCATGAACTACTCTGTAAGTTTAGGACTGTGTCGGGGGAGAAGGTGCAGAGAGCCTACTGGATATTATCAAGGAATATGCATTCTTTTTATATTCCTTAAGGACTATATTTTCATATCTGCTTTTTCCATTTGCTGGTAGCCATGTGTTTTTATACATAATTATTAAGATTCACACCTGATTGGAGAGAGATTTGATCCTTTAGCTTCAGAGCTGCCATCTACATGGCCTGCACTGCTGGAGCCCTTTGGGCCAGTTGACTGTAGCTGAAGGCTGATGAGCTTCCCACTTCTCTGCTCCTCCCTTCCCCTCCCCATGCCTTTACAATACAACATTGTAAGTTATTGTGCTATAACACCTGATTTGGTGAGATTGGCTGATTGGTTTGGTTTTTTGAGTATTATATTATCTTTGTTGGAGTTTGAGTATTCCCCCCCCAACAATCAAAAGAGAAATAAATGAAAAGTCTTATTGAGATCTGTGATTCAAACAGTTCTTGAACATGATTATGGAAAATGAGATATTTTGGTTTTTACTTGAAATTTATAATATAGACAACAAACCACTTTCATGTTAGTTACAGTTAATAAGACTTGGTCACTTTGAGAAGTCAGTATTTTCCTATCACTTTGCAATTGTTATGGCTGTCTACAGAGATCCTGATAGTGCCTTCCTTGTTGATTATTACATCTGTCATACATTCATAAAAACCACACATATAACTTTTTACCTAAATGTATTTTTTCCCTAAGTGTATTTCTATTTATATTTTGATACTTACACTTTTAAACTTAATTGGTTTATTTTGTAATCATTCCTATTTTTTGTACTTAGAACATTCTGAGGAACACCTAAATTTCATCAATTTGCTAAGTCTTTGTAGGATAAAGAATTTAATAACCTTTGGTCTATACGGTCTTCAATCTACTTTGAGTAGGTAATTAAAAATCTAGTGACAAAAGAGTCTGTAAAGAGACACTTTATAGAAGTTCCATTGACAAATAAATCAAAATGGCTTTACTTTTCATTGCTTTCTAAAGCCCAAAAGTTTGTGTTGTCACTTAATATTTCTGGGGCTGAGTTGTGGTGCTGACAGGAAAGTAAGCCTTTTAAAAATTGGGATAATGTTCCAAGAAAAGGTAATCTTTAAAAATAAGCATAATTTTTTTTTTTATAAATATCATTCTTCTGGCTTGCTACAAAGTAACTAATTCTCACAAATGATTTTCTGTATGACCTTGGAGGTTGTACCTATTAAAGTGAAATGCCCTCTTTTTCATCAGTTAATTTAAATATCTTTGGATATGACATTTCTGTACTTACATTTTCTTGCAACAGGATACACTAATAAGCTGCTTAAATAGATACACATGCATCCTAATAATAACCCATTGTTACTTTTATAAAATAGAATTTTCAGTTTATTGTTTGAAGTTTTTTAAAAAAGAAACTCTTTTAGTTTTACATATGTATTTTGAATTGTATTAGGGCATTAGTCACACTTTTTCACACCATCTTTTTTTGCTTTTATCACTCAAGAGCATAATAATGTTGAACAAAAATTCCCACCACATAGAGTAGAATATTTCACTTAATTTTTTTTCTCAATTAAATCCTCCTTATGGCTTTTTGAAAGGATTTTAGTTTAGATGATCTTATTCATTGCACTACTCAATAAGTGATTGTTTTTGTAGTCTATCCTTTTCATCACCTGGCAACTTCTTACCTGATATCTACATTGAGTATCTCATTTGCTACCTGCGTATTTATTTCCGGCTTCACACAGTTCTTCCTGATAACCCCAAGTGCCCTGGATTGAACTACAAGCAGCACAGAAACAATGCCCGAGTCTTAAATTCCAGGTGGTTGCACAGCAGAACTCAAAGTGCCTTCTCTCTGCCAATTAAAAGAACATTTAGGAAGGAATCAGACGATTTTCTTTGAAAGATTTCCTTTTTTGCCTGCCCACACAGCAAAAAAGACTATAGTTGATTGACCATACCAGAATAGGTTAGCCTATGGGAAACTTCTTTGACCTCACTCACAAGAATGCCAGCTTTTTAAAAAATATTGGTGTGTTGGGTTTTTTTGGGGGGGAGAGGGGGAGGGGGCGGTTAGTGCAATTAGTGTGCATAAAATCAATTGCTACATGAAGCAAAACAGCGGCAGGAGTTTCCCCGCAAGGAAGCTAATAGTTTTCTTAGATCTGTAAAATGTGCTGAATAAAAAGGTATTTTTACCTGTGACATCTGATCTGAACCAGGGTGTCCGTGTTTTAGATAATTGGGAAAAGTTTTGAATTCTGCCTGTGGTGCTTTTCCTGATGGACTGCAATTGATGTCTGTCAGTCTAGTTGTCAAGACACATGAAGAGGAAAATGACTTTAATTTTCCTAAAACATGTAAAATAACAAACAGGCCTCTACATGCACACCAACAGAGCCATTCACTAGCAAATATTTTTGTGGTACCTGTATTATGAAGCAGAGTGCTGTGAAAATTGAAGAGGCTTAATATCACAATTTGTTTTTTCATTTTCTTTCTTACTTATTCCACGAAATTTATTAAACTACAGGAAGAATATGAGGCAAAGATTAAATTCAAAGGTAGAAATGTACTTGTGCACGTTAAGCACAAAAGACCAATTCTCTCTTTCTGGCTTGTTACATGATTTCCTAACATTTTTAAGAAAAACCTTGAGTTGTGAGCCTAAATCAAGGCGGTTATAAAGAATAGACATTTGTACCCCAAAGCAAGACGACAGCTGGAACACCTTTACTTTTCCTCTAAGAGTCCTTACACCTCTAGGCACAATCTTTGTGCTGCTTCGCAAACACAATGCTATTTTTAAGGGTTAGTTCAGGATAGTAATAATTAATTGTAAATTGAGAAACAGCTTTGATTCTTCAAAACTAGAAAAACCTGATGTGCTGCAGTCATGTAAAGGCTAACAAAAAATAATACAATGCAGCCTCACATTCTCCTCTTGGTTGTGGTGCTCAAAACAATTTATTCTTTTCCACAAGGGATGAAGTCCCTCTGCCGATTAGGGAAGTCAGTTTTAATTGGCATTTTAAAAAATGTCTCTGAACTTAGGTAGCATTTATTTGGGGGTGTTGTTATTTTTTTTTTTTAATATCGAGATGATATAGGCCCTCATTGTTTTGGGTAATATAAGTGTACATTTTGTTCCTAAATCACCATAGTTACGGACCATGGTGGGGACAAAGAGGTTGAAGAGGAATGGTACAGGTTGAGATGGATTAGTCTAATGTTTCTTTATACCTTAGCTCCTTATCTTAAAAATCCATTCTTAGATTGTGTGTGTGATCTCTCCTTTTTGTTTATCTTCTTTATTGGAGAAAAACAACTCTTTCAAATGCCATTACTTCACCTTTACAATTTTTTACTTGTGGAATTTTGTTCCTTTCATATTGCATGATGTTGGTAACATAGCATACCCTCCAGCAGCAATACAATTTTCCTGTCTTAGAAAGTGTGTGGGTTCCCTGGAACAGCTGGTATACCATTTCTTCTTTCTTCCTTTTAAGGCCTACGATGGATTCGCCAGCATAGGAATTTCCCGGTTGTTGGAACCTTCAGATATGGTTTTATTAGCCATTCCCGACAAACTGACTGTTATGACTTATCTCTATCAAATAAGGGCTCATTTCAGCGGCCAAGAGCTGAATGTCATTCAGATAGAAGAAAACAGCAGTAAAAGCACCTACAAAGTTGGGAACTATGAAACTGACACAAACAGTTCTGTGGATCAGGAAAAGTTTTATGCGGAGCTGAGCGATCTGAAGCGGGAGCCTAACCCTCAGCCTACCAGCGGAGCCGTGGACTTCTTGTCTCAAGACGACTCAGTATTCGTCAATGATAGTGGGGTTGGAGAGTCCGAGAGTGAACACCAGACCCCTGATGATCACCTAAGTCCAAGCACAACCTCCCCTTACTGTCGCAGGACTAAAAGTGACACAGAACCCCTAAAATCCCAGCAGAGTTCTGGGAGGACTTCAGGATCCGATGACCCCGGAATGAGTTCCAGTACAGACTCAACTCAAGCACAGGCTTTGTTAGGCAAGAAGAAACTGTTGAAACCTGAGGTTTTAGACTTAAGTGACTTCTATGTTAGCGATAAGAAGAAGGATGTGTCCCCACCTTTGATTTGTGAGGAAGCAAATGAGCAAAAGCTTCAGGCTTTAGAAGCTACTGGGAGCTTGGAGCAGGGAAAGGATCATTCCAGACCCCGAGACGGCAGACTGGATCCTGAGTCACCTATCAAGAAGCCAAGTTTATCTCCCACGTCTAAGCTGGGATACGTGAGAGATGAAGACTTTGCAAAGAGAAAACCTTCCTCTCTGAGGCAGACAGAGTCCGAGCCAGATGCGGATAGAGTCACAGGAAATCATGCCGAGCCTTCCTCGAAATCTGTCCAGGTGAGTGAGCGAGGATGGTTACGATGCAGGGCCAGCAAACAGATATTCTGTACTTTTTTGAAAGATACTTTCTTTCTGTATTAATAAAACCTTTTAAGATGTTAAGATGCACTTAAGGGGAGTTTTTGATCATTGTAATTTGTTGCAGTGATTAAAAGTATGACATAATTTCTCTTCGGTAAAAGACCTTGTTTCATAAACACTTAAGCAAAGTTTATATGGAACTTTAAGTCTATAAAATAACTCAGCTTTAGGAATGAAAGGTAAAGTATACCAATTTTTAAGGTATTACTTTACTAATAAAAGAAAGATGTTTTGTTATGAGTAGGTTAAAGATATTTTTATATTCTATTTAGTAAGAAAATCATTCAGAAATTTAAGGTCAAATTAAGTATTTCCTGTTCAAAATGTTTTCCTTAAATACCTTAGTTGCATTGGAATCAGTATTTCTGGTCACATCTTTACAAAACTTCCAGGAGCATTCAGATTTTCCCCATGAGGTGGATATTAATTTTTATTTAATTAAACCTACAGTTTCAGCAGAATACCTATAAAAGGATGGCCATTATGTTCTTAACATTTAGAATTTGTATTTTATGCATGTAAAATGAATTCTTTTCCACCTTTTTGACATAGACTTATATAATACTCACGTGTGCATACAAGGAAGTCTTAAGCAAAATAAATTGATTTAGGTATTTTTTTAAACTCTTCATGCGTAGCTGCTAACTGTTCGAAATCACTTTTTAGCTCAGTTGTTGGTGTTCATGTTTTCCACGCAGTTTTGGCCTCTGTACCGCCCACAGCACATTGTTTCAGCAGCAGTTCTACTTTTTTAATAATACTCCCAACTATTTTTACAATAATACTAGAGCCGTGTTTGCCATTCTTTTAGCTCATGCTCTAGTCAGTAGGCACTGGAGTTTTCTGGAGACTGTGATTTGTCCCACCCCAGCAGATTGACTACTGAGAGAGGTATCAAAATAGAATTACTGTCTGCAGTATGACCAGATAGTAAAAAGAGTTACAATATTGTCAAATGTTGCCATTTTGGTTATCTTTTAGAGATAACCAAATTAAAACAAAAAAAAATTAAATTGAAATTTGTTAACATGTAAAGAATTTGCTGTGGGTTTTTGTTTTTCTGAAGGAATAAGTAATTTCAGTTTCTCAGTTTTCATTTCAAAAGAAAACAAAAATCTCGGGAGTTAGCGGAATCCCTTTGGGGTCCTGAGTTTTGAGGTGCACACAGGGCTCTGATCCCAGCAAGTTTGCTGATCTCTGAACTATTGTATTTCTTCAAAGAATATTCCATGATTGTCTCTGGGATTTCTTTTGGAGCTAGTAATATTCATCAACATGTTGGCACTTTATTGATCATACCAGAAAGTTTTACAGTAGAAGATTTCAGACAACAACCACTCAAATCGTTCTTGGACAAGTGTTGCCGGAAACATCTGAGATTGTAGCCATACACCGGCACATGCATGCATGTCATCAGTGGCAGTCACATCCTGATTTCTACGTGGATGACAAACTGTAAAATATCATCAAGTATCAGTATCAAAAAGTGTTAAGGAAATTAAAAATGTCTGTCTTAGATTCAATGCTCTAGTAGCTATCTGAGCTCTGCCCTGCCTCATGAAAGCTTTCAGGCCACGTCATGCTTGTGTCATATCATTGCCATCAAGCTGGCCCCAGCTCACAGCAGCCCACGTGTGTCAACATAGAACAGAGCTCCAGTCGGTTTCCGTGGACTGATTTTTTTTTAAAAATTCATTGCTAAGAGTTTTATTTATCTAGGCCTACCAGTTAAATACTTTGGGGAGCCTAAATTTGAACATCTACTGTAGATTTCTTCTGTTAACTATTTTTAAAGCAAGTGTGTTTAAAGTACAGTGTGATTGATGTTTAAAAATGCAAAGTCATCTGGATGGGGAAGCAGTACTCTTCTTAAGACCAAAGAGCTGTGTTTTGTGTCTGTGTAACTGGTCACAATTATTACATGATCACTGGGCTCTGACAGTAATTAACAGTATTGGCATTTTTAATGTCATTTAACCCCCTTGGAATGTGTTTTTCACATATGTTAAATGGAATAATCTCTCAGAGGCTGTTCGGCTCTCAAAATATTCTGTCATGCTGTGATTCTATTAAGATTATGTAAGTCAAGTTCAAATATGTCCACTGGATGATAATAACGACCTTTATTGACAGTTCATATGTTTTGTTCACTGGCCCTTAGAACTGGTCAGAATTTTTATTAAGATAAACAAAGAGATTTTGGGTACTAGACTGGTAAAAGTAGTATCTGATGCCAAAAATTTGTAATATGAGTGCTGAAATTTAATAGGTTTATTAAATTGTCTATAGCAGCTAAATTTTGGACCGTATGTTAGTCCAAAAGCTTTTCAGAGTAGTTTACGTACTTAGAATCCTTTCATTTGAAGCTTTTTATGAAGGAAAACAGTGGCTTGCACTGATAGCTACCTTTGATTGTAACATACACTTTTTTTCCTTAAATTTGTTTCTATGCTATATGGTATGTCTCATGAATTCTGAGATATACATCTTTTAATATTTCTAACGTCTCTGAAATCAGGATGTTGTTTACAGTATACCTACTGTATACGGCAGGTGCTCTTTCTTAGTAATTCATAGAATAATGTTTAGTCTTAAAATTGATGTCATTAAATTCGAGGAAATTTGCTAACCTAGTATGGCTTACCAGATTTTAGAAAGGCCTAATGTCCATTTTGGTGCTTGATTTGAGAACTATTACATATATTGTACATACCTCTCTTAAACTTTAAAAACCCAAGAAGTGAGTGGACAAATCTCACTTTATGTATGGAAAACTGGGGTTTGCAGACTTCCCCAAGCTGGCATAGTAAGTATATGATGTTCAAATTTAAAGATTCCTTAGTCCCAAGTCTGTGTTTCTAAATTTTATGCTCATTATTTTTCTTTATTTTAAACCATAATCACACTCAAAGATAGCTGTAACTTTAGAAGTATAGCAGTCAGCTTTATTGAAGGGCAGCTTAGCATTATACATCAAGTTCCTTAAAAAAGATTCATTGTGGAGAGAGGGAGTGAAGAAATTAGGAAAGATTCAGTGGAGACCTGAAAAGACGAGATGATAGGTGGGCATAGATCAATGGAGATCTGTTTTATAAAACCCAGTGTATGGGAATGATTATATGAAAGGCAATGTGAATAAAGACTGTTTAAAACACAATGTATATGAATGAAACACAATGTATATAAATTTTGTATGCAAACCAATGTAATTTTTATAAATGTTAACAAAAAGGCTTAGCTCATTATAGAGTCCTAAGATTTATAACCAGGAAAAAAAAGAATTTATATGAATATGATTTTAATGAGCAAAGCAGGGTTTTCATGTGTGTGTAGTTGGCTGAGATTACCAAATGTAGAATCACAGAAGTTAGTGATAGTGGGGATTTTAGAGATAATCTCATCTAAATGCTGTCATTCAAAGACAAAGAAATGGAGGGATTAAAAAAGTAGTAATAGTATTTATTCAGTGTTTCACTATGTGCTCGAGCTGTTACCCCATTTCACTTACTCTTTACATGATCCTTGTGAGAATTGCTCTATTTTTACCCACATTTGTAAGTGAGGTTTAGAGAAATGGGATTATTTGACCACAGTGAAGTGATGAAATTGGGTCTTGTACCTAGACTTCTCCTGCCTCCAAATTGAACTGAAATGCGAGTTTTTACGTGGCCTGCTCAGTGTTACATTGCTCATTATTCTAAGAGAGATTAGCAGCATGATATTGTAGCTGTAAATTCAGAGTTCATGTAATTAATTTTGTCTGGTTTTGAGAAAGTTTGTTGTTATAGCCAGCTCAGTTGCAGTGACCAATTCCATTATGGACTGTCAACATTGACTAAGAATCCATTTTTTATACATGTCAATTGTATCTATTAAGATTTTTTGTTTAATCCTCTTAAAATCTTGTGTAGTAGAAGAGGTTGTACAACCCTGTGAATACACAAATGTTTAAAAGCACAGAGATGCTCTGTGGCATGGTCGTAAGGGGATTGGGCTGCTAACTCAAAGGCAGTCCCTCTCTGCCAGTTCAAATCCACCAGCCGCTGTAAGGGAGAAAGACAGGCAGTCTCCCCCGGTGTGACTTACAGCCTCTGAAAACCCACTAGAGGGTTAGCTATGAGTTGGTGCCCACGCGACAGCAATAAATTGAATTGTTTTTAAAAAACTACAGAATTTTACACTTATAAAAATATTTTCTCCTACACAATTAAAGAAGTGGGTTTTAAAATAGCTATAGAAAAATGCAAAGATTGGGAAGAAAAAATAATGTTCCCAATTTCATTTTAAAAGAACAATTACACATTTATACCAACTAAATGAACCTATTCCTTGACCAAGAATGATTCTTATGATTGGAAGCAAAACTATGCCATGAAACAGATGTTAGTTACTTTAGTAGAAAAGAAGGAATTTGGAATTAACTAACGTGGCAGAGATTGTGAGTATGGCACAAGATAGGGAAGGGTTTTGATCTGTTTGTTCAGACACCTGGTCATGAGCTGTAGTCCACTAGTCAGCACCTAAAAACATCGGCCTTAATTAAGGATTCATTTCTATTGATGGTCAGTGCCTATTAATCTCCAAAATATATTTAAAATTACAAACTAATGTAGTAACATTCTTGTCTTACTCTAATATAGTTGGTTGTTTTTATTGTAACGAATGAGCAATGTCGGTTATTAGGTTAACTCTTTTATTCCCCCCATAAACTTTATGAAAGCTTTTCTTTTTCTAAAAATATCCGTTGTCCAGAACGTAAAGAATTATTATTACTGGTATTTAATATCAACATTCAATTTGGAAAACATGTGGCTTTCAATTTGAGAAACCAGAATCAGACCAGACTCAGCTTCCTAGTGACCCCACAGGACAGAACACAGCCACTCCCCAGGCAGTCCGAGCTGGAAATCATCACAGGAGCAGCCTGCCACAAGTTTCTCCCATGGAGTGACTGGTGAACTCGAACCACTGACCTTTTAGTTACTAGCCAACCACTTAACCACCACACAACACCATCCCTGCCCCTGTTATCGGTGCTATAGGACTATGAATATACAGAACCCCCAAGTGTTGCCATTAATGCTACTCAAAGTGGGAGGTTCAAGTCCATTCAATGATGGTGCCTCAGAGGAAAGGCCTGCTGATATGCCTTTAAGAAAACAAACCCCTGAAATTCAAATGAAGCCTGTTTCCACCAGACACACAGGGTGGGGTGGGGGAAGCTTCTGGGAGTTAGTATTCACACTTAGCCTGAAAAGATAATAGAAAGTTTCAAAGAAACACTCTTTGACTACCAGATTATACTGTATTATTTATCAAATACAAAGAATGCCTACAGCATATACAAGGATCTTCTGCCTTTTAAGAACATGTTCTCATGATGTATATTCTTAATCAGTTTTTTTTACATTATCAGTTTATAAAGATGATTCTTTTCCCCCCTCTCCACTTCTAATTCTGCATCTTTGCTTTTAAGCACCGAATGTTATCCAGACAAGAAGAACTTAAAGAAAGAGCAAGGATTCTGCTTGAACAAGCAAGAAGAGACGCCGCTCTGAAGGCAGGAAATAAGCCGACTACCAGTGCAGCCACCCCTCTCTGCAGCAGACAGCTAAGTGATGTGAGGAATAGTGGGTGAAAAACCTGTAAAGCTTAATTCTTTTGTGGGGCAAAGGGAATGATTCTCCTGTATTTTTGCTGTTTTTCAGAGACTTTGCGAGTAGTTGCTATTCTTACAGAACTGATAGAATCTTCATTGGAAGAACTTACTGTGATAATTCCTATACAGCATGTTAGCTATTGGGGTAACGTAGGATGCTCAAATATCATTTCCATGCACACACAAATTTAGTTTTCAGCCATTTACATTTTACAATCTGTAGTGCTCTGTTTAAGATTGTATTTTGTCCTTGGAAGTTCATTTTGTTGAAAATATTAGAATATAGTAATGATACGTAACCCAAATCTACTGCTGTCAGGTGGATTTCATGTCCTAGAGACCCTATAGGACTGAGCAGAACAGGCCTATTGGGTCACCTAGGCTTTAAATCATTATGGAGACAGTCTTTATTCCATCAAGTGTCTCTTTCTCCCTCCCTTGCTCATTACCATTGAATCAGAACCGACTCAGGGCTGACCCTCCATTGGATTCCGAGGCTGTAAATCACACAGGAAGAGATGGGTCATCTTTCTGCCACAGAGCTGGTAGATTTGAACTGCAAGAGAGACATAGCCTTTGTGTTTGTAGTACAGCTCCCTATGGACTGCGCCACCAGGGCTCCCCCTGAAACGGCTAGCGGGTTCAAACCACTCACCTTTTGGGTAGCAGCCAAGTGTGGTTGGGACGATTCCATCTCCTAGTGACCCTAAAGCACAGAGCAGAACTGCATGTAGAGTGGAGGGTAATTGGGGTAGATTTAAGGACAGGTGAACTAAAACTTGCTGGAAAAGAATCTAATCACGTGAAAATGCTTATTGCCATCAAGTCAGAACTGACTCCCAGCCGATTCTCCAGTGAGTTTTCGGAAGGCTGACTTCACAGTAGAGGAGATTCCCAACCTTCCCCTGATGGAGCAGTCAGAAGACTCTGACCTCAGAGTGCTGTGTGCTTCTTGTAGGAGCTCCACACTCATGGGCTTCACCACTACACAGAGTGTGTCTTCCTTTAGAAGACCTTGTTTTGTTGATATTATATTTGTGATCAGTTTCATAATTTCAGAGTTGTTTCCGGTTCTCAGAAAAAGAGGAAATGTGTACCTTTCTGTTGTGCAAACTTGTCAATTTTAGGCACAAGATATTTGAAATTTAAATGATGTCTGCCAATTGTTACATACCGTTGAGTTGAATACGACTCACAGCTGACCCTCCAGTGAGTTTTCAGAGGCCATAAATCACATGAGAGGAGATTGCCCATCTTTCTCCCACAGAGCTGCTGGTGGATTTGAACCATGGTCCTTCGGGTTGGCAGCACAGATGTAATTTTATACAGATTAGCAATGATCAGTAAATGTTTATTGAGCCCTTAATTGTATGCCAAGTCAGATTCTGAGAGCTTCTGCGTGGATTCACCACAAGCGTATGAAGGGGCAGCCCATAGAGAGGTGTGCTGCTGATTTGGCTAGCTCACCTTTTTGGCAGTTCGAATCCACCACTGTCCCACAGGAGAAAGATGAGCAGTCTGCTCATGAGCTATTTTCAGACATGGAATCCCACTGGAGGGTCATCTGTGAGTCATTTCCAACTCGACAGCAGCAAGTGAATGAGTGATATGAAGCAAGTACTGTCATCCCCATTTTATGGGTGAAAAAAACCCCAACTCAAGTCACAAAGAATTTAATGAATTGTCCATCAGAAAACCCAAACTCACAGGAGTCATGTCACAACCAGTAGCTGACCCTCCTTCGGGTCCCTGATGCTCAAAGTGGTGCGGGAAGACTTGCCCGTCTTTCTCTCTCAGTGCAGTTGGTGGATTCGAATCACTAGCGAGGCTCAGCCTTTCTGGTAACTCTGCAGCTCGGCTCCTGAAATCATGCTGTAAACATGGCACTTTATTTTTTTCTCATTTGTTCTTTGCACATCTTTGCAAAATAGGGCTAGATACTATTTTTTTGTTTACTGGAAATTAGTAGAATTAGTGGTTTTTTTGTTTTGTTTCGAGAATGGAGTTGGTTGGTGTGTTTTGTTTTTTTTTTTTAAATCTCTCAAAACAGGAGCAGAATTCAAGTATTGCTTGAAGTATTACTCTTATTACTTGTTTATTCTGAAAGCCGGTTCTTCCACTTACTAATTTGATCTTTCAGCGTTTAATTTGTCAGTTGTCTCCTCTGTACAAAGTACCTATAACTTTACCTACTGTTTCTTTCCCGGGAAAACCCAGCCCACTGCCCTATGGTCTGTTCTGACTCATTGGGTTCCTGAGGGCATCGGTCTTGATGGACAGAGACTGCTCATCCAATTGGTGGATTTGAAACATGAATGTTGCAGTTTGTGGCCTGACTCATTGCACACGTTGCCGCCAAGACTCTTAGACCTTTAACTAAAATTATTAGTAAATTCAATGTGAGAAGTTAATTATTAAAACACATCTGATTCCTTGTCTCTGATATCTTACTATTATTTATAGTATTATTATAGTAAAGACTAACTTGCATTTAAGACACAATGTTGGTGAGAATTCTTTAGGTTACTCTTTTACACTGTTGGTGGTATGTATGTGGTATTGCCACTTCTGGAAAGTCATTATGCATTTCATTTACTCAATAATTCCACTAATAAAGGCCTCTAGAAAGATTTATTAATCACAGTGTTGTTCATAATAACAAAAAATTCGAAATGGCCTCGTGCTTTAAAATAGAGGGATGAGAAAATACATTATGATGGTGGTGGTGTTCTACCATCAAGTTGAAACTGACCCATAGCTGACCCTCTGGTGGGTTTTCAGAGGCAGTAATCACACAGGAGGAGACTATCCATCCTTCTCCTGCGGGGCAGCTGGTGGCCTTGAACGCCCTTGGGATTGCAGCTCAACTTTTCAGCATTAGGCCACCATGGCTCCCTAAATACATTTGTATCATTACCTCTCTCTCTCTCTCTCTCTCAGCTTTTGAGTTGGAACTGACACATAGCTGACCCTCCAGAGGGTTTTCAGAGGCTGTAAATCATATGGGAAGAGATTGCCCATTTCTCTCAAGAAGCAGCCCATGTATTTCAACCCCCCACCCTTGTACTGACAGCGAGCCTCCTTACCCATTACGTCACCAGAGCTTCCTAATTGTTATGCACCCACTAAAAATATCTATCCAGTAATGTTCTGAAGAAAAAATTTTCAAAACTTGAGGGAAAATTTACAATATCATATGTACAAAGGAAGATTTGAAGTAGTATATGCAATATGAACTCCATTTTGAAATAACATAGACTATAGCTTGTTATACAGAAGGACAAATTATTAAAGTGTTGTTAATAATATTTATCCCGTAGAAAACAGTACAATAAATATATTTTGAGGGTTTTTTCTTTGTCTTTCTGTATTAAAGCTACCATGTTATGATAGAGATTTCAAACTAGAAAAAAAAAAACCAACAAAACTGTGGTCTAATTTTCAATAAATATTTTCAGCAGATCACTTTCTTAACATAACCAAACAAACTTGACTGTAAAGCAGTTTCATCTTGGAAATAGTTTTTTGAGAAAACTGTACTCCTCCCAGATCTGCAGTTTAATAGGGTTCTATTGAGGGCAAAAAAACCAAACCCAACAACAACAACAGAGATTTTTGTCTTTAACTGTGCTGTATTTCCATATCTCTCTCTGTGTGTGTGTGTGTGTGTGTGTGTGTGTGTGTGTGTGTGTGTGACAGAGACAGAGCAGCATTTTTAGAGTTGGTGATACTAACAGTGTGCCTAGGTATTGAGTAACAGCTGAGTCAGTAATGCCAGTATTAAGGTCACACGTGATCTTTCATGACTGTTTTTACATGGTGAATAATACTTAACTGGGATACCTCACAGCACACGTAGTTGTTCCTTTGCGTTCTGTGGTATTACTGGTTTGGCTGTCTTATCTCGAACTCATTAGCACTGAGTTGCAAAGAACTCATTGCTGACCCTCTCGTGGGGTCCATGTCCCCCCCCCTCCCCCCCGACTGTAAATCACTTGGGAGGAGATTGCTCATGTTTCCACCTTGGAGCCACTGCTGTATCCAGACCCCAAGAGAGGTGTGACCTTTGTCTGGCGCAGTTCCCCATGGACATCACACTGTTCCTTTTTGTTTCTAGAAAGTGCAGCTTCGGAGCTAGTGTTTTCATTTCCCAGGGTTGCCATAGGGAGCTCTGGTGGCCTAGTGGCATGAAGCTGTGCTGCAATCCCGAAGGCGCACAGTTCGAGGCCATCAGTGGCTCCTCAGGAGGAGGATGGGCAATCTTCTCCCATGTCATTAACTGCTTCTGACAGCCAGTGAGAGGATCAGGTATGGGTCAGTTGTGCAACTCTGTGGTATACAACAACAGGGTTGATATACCTAAGCACCACAAAATGAATGAAGACAGCAGAAATTTATTTTCACACTGTTGTGGAAGCTAGTACTCTGAAATCTGCTGCCAGTGGCATTAATTCCTTCTGAGAATTTAGAGAGAATTGTTCCATGATAGGATCTGGTGACTGTCAGCTAGTCAGTAGCGTTCTTGGCTTGTGGAAGCATCACTTCAGTCTCAGCCTCTTTTGCATGGCCTTCCCCTGTGTGTCTGTCTCCTCTCTTGTTTTTATGAGGACACTGTCATATTAGAGCCCTGCTCCTTTCCTATGACCTCATATTAACCATAGCTGACCTTTGAACAATGCAGAGGTTCAGGATACTGACCCTCTATGCAATTGAGAATTTGCCAGTAATTTACAGTTGACTCTTGATCAACATGCATTTGAACTGTCCAGGCTCGCTTACATTTGGAGATTTTCCCCTCTCCTGCAGGACTTAACTATCAATTTAGAAAGGTTTACATATGGAGAGAGTCAGACTAGTATGGCTACCCAAAAGTGGGAGGAGAAAATGAATAGATAGATAGTGAATACTTTATTGAACTAAATGGAAGAAAGGACAGTGTAGAATGAATGGAATGTCAGACA